TTTAAAAAAAACTAAATATCTCCCTTTGGAGTGGACTTTGAGATTTATAACTTTCTAGATCTTTTTTATGCCCAAACATATACACTACACACTGACTAAAATTTAAAAAGTGAAAAAGCATAATAGGACCCCTTTAAATACAGTATTTAGTAATAACTATTAATTTATTATTATTATTATATAGTGAAGCCAAAAGACATATGTCCAATTGTCATGTTGACATATAAATCTAAATTTTTGGCCAAATTGTGCAGCCTAATAAATAAGCACAGAAAAACGGGAGCTTTTTTTTTTTTAATCAGTAATATTAAAATTAGATAATTTCCCCCCACAAATCATGCAGCCCTATTTTCATTTTTTTTCATTTTAAGTGAATGGAATATATAACATTTACCCTCTCAGTGACCTTATCGACCTCTGTATACAAAAAGTTCAAGTTTTGGTCAAAGTGCTGGTCCTTGAACAGACCCTTCCTGATCATCTGTAAATATCAAAAAATATTTTATCTATTTTTTAATACATTTTTTTTAATTCCTAATATCTGATGAATTCTTACTTTATTAGGCAGTTTTCCTTTCAGGTCCATGGCAAGTTTTAGCATGTGGTTATTTGTCTTCCCAGGGAAAAGGATTTTTCCTGTGTATAGTTCATAGAGAGTGCAGCCCACAGACCACATATCGATTCCGTAATCATACGACTTTCCGATGACTGCAAAAAGAGGAAGAAAAACTCTTAAAGCCTAAACAAGCATTACCCAATTTCAGATGGGTTTATTAATTAATTAATTTATTATTTTTTTAGATGGTTTAATTTGATTCCTTAAGTTTTTACTTACTGATCTCAGGTGCCCTGTAGAAGCGGCTGACCAGATATGGTGTTATGTCATTGTCAGCCACATGTGATGCTGAGCCAAAGTCGCACAACTTGAGGATGGTCTTGGATTCGTTCACCTTTAGAGTATTAAATACGTTTATATAATAAGACAGAGATGGAAGTCAGTGTTCAATATTTATGGCACAAGAATTGTGGCTTACTAAAATGTTGTCGGGTTTGATGTCAGCATGCAGGATGTTGCAGCGCTTGAGGAGTTTGAGGGCCAGGAAAAGCTGCTGGCTGTACGAACGCACAGCCTTGATGTGTAGCCCAACGTCCTTGCCATATTTCCTCAACACCTCCCGCAGGTTCATGCTGAAGCCAGAAAAAAATTAAGTTCTTTTAAAGGATTAGTTGACTTCCAGAATGAACATTTTCTTATAATTTACTCATCCCCATGTCATCCAAGATGTTCATGTCTTTCTTTCTTCAGTTGAAAAGTAATTAAGCTTTTGAGGAAAACAGAGGATTGTGTAGAGCCCTTTGAAACGGCAATTTCAAAAACCTTAATTTCTTTCTGACTGAAGAAAGAAAGACATGAACATCTTGGATGACATGAGGGTGAGTACATTTTTATTCTGGAAGTAAACTAATCCTTTAGGAGAACAACTCAAGCTGCATTGATGCATGTGAATCTGTTGACTGTAATGTACCTGAGTGGTTCGAACACCAGACACAGATGCTGCTTGTGATAAAAGTGCCTAAAGAGCCGCAAACAGTGGAACTTATCATCTGCATCGGCGTCATTCAGTTTCTTCAGAAACTCCAGCTCTTTGAGTCCAGTCTTTTGCCTATGGGAGAAAACATGTGGCCTTCGGTCACATAAAGACCACATCTACACCTACTCTAAATCTCAGTTCCTATCCAAGTAAATCCCTATGACACAATTTATTTGAGAACATTAAAACTGTGGACGTAACCAACACCACACATTGTGGTTTGATCAGAAATCCAACTGTACCAGACAGAAGTGTTTAAAGGCTAAGCATTAAGCTTTTAAGGGAAGTGTCTTACATCATCTCATTGTTGCGTATTATTTTCACTGCCACTTCCTGATTGGCTCGGGCCAAGTCTCTGGCTCGGATCACATTGCTGAAGACACCCTGTCCAGTGTAGCCATACACCCCGTACCGTTTGTCCAACACCTCGCCAATGTTCACACCTGAATACATTAAAAGAACAATCACGTTTTTGATGTCCTCTTTAACATGAAACCTAAGATATTTTTCAATCTTATAAACACGTTTTGGATTCTATAGATTTAAATACAGTATTTGCTTCAAGACAACTGACTTACGGTAATAGCCTTCTGCATCTGTCCAGTTATCTCTGAGACTTGGGTTCTCCTTGAAGTCCTTGCCAATGCCTGCGGCCCGTAACCTGGCACTCTGCGGAGAGAGATTAGATGTGGATTTGTCACTGTCAACATGATTGAATTCAGAGTTGATTAAAATATTCATTCATGAACGAGTGACTGACACTGTAAGAGACCATTTCAAAGTCTGAGGGGCCTCGAGATTCAGTGAGCACCAGAGTCAGATTACCCACTTTGGAAAAAAGCTTTGAAAAAAGTTTCCAGTACAGAAACAACAGCTTGCACAGGACTATGCAACTCTACCTGTAGAGATCCCCTTACATGGACAAATTCAATCAAATTCTGGGGCTTGCAAAGCCATTGACCTATGCAATGGAGAGCAGGAACTTGGCTACTCACGTCAAAGTAAGCAGCGAACATGTCATCTGACTCTGTGAACATATCTGGCGCTGGTGGCTTTTTCAGATTAGCACCTAAAGAAAAAGAACAATGATGCAATGAAAGGAACATAGACTTGCTGATAACGTATTAGACCACCTTGCATTACATGAAAGAAAATGTTTCATGTCACAAATTTACAATGACTCTCCTTTTTGTTTTCCTTAACAACTGATATGAGAGCCATTTTAGACTTTATACTGACACCTGTTGGCATGGATGTAGCATCAAGCAATTGTTATTAGTTAACTAGTGCTGTATCAGAAAAATATTTGAAGGTGTATTTATTATATGTTATAAACTAATAAAATGTGAAAATGTTACATTTTTAAACAGATTATTGGGAAGCAAAAACATTTCTCAATTTTATGATCACTCCATATGAATTGATGAATAGTCGTGAGCACTCACTCACTGGTCATGCGATCTCAACATGACCGGGGACCACCTTTTGTACAATATAATAGTTTAATCTGTTTTTCTCATGTATGTGTACATCATTTTAAACATGATTGTCAAACCTAATTTGAACAACTTTTTAATGTAGAAAGTGCACTTTTAATTGAAAGATATTTTGCAGATGACATACCATCTTTTTCTTGAGAGACAAGACTATGCTTGGCTTTCACATTATCCTCAAACGTGTTCAGGTTCTCTTGCTCGTAGGCTTTGACATCAGCAGCCACACGCTCAAGGATGTCATCGGGAGATGGCGATCGGCTGTGAGTGCTACTCTGAGGACTGCCATGTTCTGAGAGTCCTGACATGTTACTGTCCTCATTTACTGGCTTATACTTCTGTACAGAACACAATACGAATACAATCACATTACATACTCTACCGTTCAAAAGTCTGGGGGTTGGTAACATGTAACAAAACATTTTTTTTTTTTTGTTGAAACTGTGGTACATTTTTATTTATGATTATTTGATTAATGGAATGTTTAAAAGAAAATAATTTGTGACCCTGGATCACAAAACCAGTCTTAAGTTGCTGGGGTATATTTGTAGCAATAGCCAAAAATACATTGTATGGATCAAAATGATAGATTTTTCTTTTATGTCAAAAATCATTAGGATATTAAGTAAAGATCATGTTCCATGAAGATATTTAGTAAATTCCCTACCGTAAATATATTAAAACTTAATTTTTGATTTGTAATATGCATGGCTAAGAATTCATTTGGTCAACTTTAAAGGCGATTTTCTCAATATTTGGATTTTTTTGCACCCTCAGATTCCAGATTTTCAAATAGTTGTATCTCGGCCAAATATTGTCCTATCCTAACAAACCATACATCAATCGAAAGCTTATTCAGCTTTCAGATGATGTATAAATCTCAATTTCGAAACATTGACCCTTATGACTGGTTTTGTGGTCCAGGGTCACATTTACTGGAAATATAAATCTTTTTTAACATTATAAATGTCTTTACTGTCACTTTTGATCACTTTAATGCATCCTTGCTGAATAAAAGTATTTATTTCCTCCTCCTCAAAAAAATTTTTTATTTATCCCAAACGTTTGAACATGTACGGCTAAAACAAAGTAAAAGCTATACAAGAGATTAAAATATTCTAACCTGCACGATAGCCAAGCGCTGAAGTCTCCTCTGTTCTATCAAATGTCCTATCCTAACAAACCATACATCAATCGAAAGCTTATTCAGCTTTCAGATGATGTATAAATCTCAATTTCGAAACATTGATCCTTATGACTGGTTTTGTGGTCCAGGGTCACATTTACTGGAAATATAAATCTTTTGTAACATTATAAATGTCTTTACTGTCACTTTTGATCACTTTAATGCATCCTTGCTGAATAAAAGTATTTATTTCCTCCTCCTCAAAAAAATATCTTATTTATCCCAAACGTTTGAACATGTACGGCTAAAACAAAGTAAAAGCTATACAAGAGATTAAAATATTCTAACCTGCACGATAGCCAAGCGCTGAAGTCTCCTCTGTTCTATCAAAGCCTCCTCGTCCTCTTCATCAACGTCATAATCTTCCAGCCTAGACACAGATTAGTATTCATAATTAAGTCCAAATATGATCAGAAACATAAAAGCAAAACATAATTTTCATTAATACTCACACGTCATCATCCGAGTCCTCCTGCTCAGGCTTCATTCCTTCAGATAGACTGCCCTTAAACATGTCCTCTCTTTCCCTGCTCCTTCTCTTCCGCCTTTCCTGTGATCCCGAGTGTACCTGCTGTCTGCGCTCTGTCCTGTCACGCTCCCTAGATCTACACAATATGATTCTACTGAGAGATGTTGTAATAAGTAAATTAGCATTCAGATGTAAATGTGATGCCCCTTGTCATTAAAATTCCATTAAAGCCCTTCGCTTAAGGACAGCAACCAAATCTGTTTCTACAGAGGATGTGTAAAATAGGTACAAATTTATGAATTATTATTTGTGCATTTACTTTTAGCTCATTTAAGCTTATTGGATAGTTGTATCATCTAAATGGGGAGTTGTTGCACAGTTTTGAATGCTACCGCACACCACAGTCACCTGTGTCTGAGAGGAGACCTGCCGGTTCGTCTCCTGGGAGAACGGGACCTTCGTCTGACAGGCGGGTGGTTTAACCTTCGTCTGGAGTTCAGAGAGGGACTCTCCTCGCTACGGCCCCCTGCCACATCACGAGATCGCATCCTGTGAGTATAAGAAAACAATATGAAAGTGAGTTTAAAAGAAATTTAATTTTGGGTAACAAGATTTAAACAAACAGAGCTAGAACCTGTCGTTGGAGAGTCTCTGTCGTTCTTCTTCTCTCTGTCTTCTCTCAACAGACCGAGATCGGCCTCTCCTTGGAGGGGATCTGTTGTGACATGAAGATCTGTCCTGTCTGGATGCCCTGTCTGTACTCTGGACAACAGGGATGTGTTCAGGTGAGCAGTGGCCCCTGGGCCGCACAGACAGGCTGTGTTGTTCTGGAGGTTGTTTTCTGCTAGGAGATCGATTCTCTTTTCCAGATGAGGCTTCTTTTGAGGGTGCTTTCACTGATTTCTTGTCTCTCTCCCTGTCAGCTTCTGGCGAGTTTGTGTTTCTTTCTTTAGATCTAGACCTGCTCCTTCTTTCTGAGGATCTGTGGTCTTCAATTTGCTCTTCAGGCCGTGTAGTTGATTTTTTGTTGCTTGATGGCAAGTCCTTGGACTTCACAGGAGATTTAGACCTCTGACCACCATCTTTGGATCTCTCAATGCTCCGGGATCGTCTCCGCTCCCTCGCTTGGATGGGACCACTAGGTTTCTCACTGATGTTAACTTCTGACCCAGTCTTACTAACTCTTTTTTCTGATTTATGGGCCTGGACTGCCATTTCATCAGACATGCTTCTGTCTTCCAACCAGGGATCAATTTTGTCATTATATATGTAATCCTGTCGAGATCTTCCAGCATGTTCCCGAGCATCAAAACCTTGTCTCTGTTGCTCACCATTTTGCACAGCTTGCTGGATCTCCCCATCCTCCTCTGAATCTGAGTTATAACCCTGTAATATCAGTCCCATACCTGATTGCACAGCCCCTTCCATCAGCTCATTATCAAGCTCTGCTTGAATCATGGCTCTTTGTTTCTCCAGGTCCTCCAGAGCAGCAAGGTCATCAAGTCTGGATCGCTTTGGAGAGATGACTGCACCTTCACAGCCAGCAGAACAGTCTCTATCATCCTGGAGTGAGTCTCTGTGTTTCCGCTTATGCTTGTGTTTGTACTTGTGCTTGTGGTCCCTCTCATCTGGTGAGGGATATTTATGTTTTCTGTGCTTGCTTCGATGTTTGTGTTTTCTTCTCTTGTGTCTTTCCACCCTGGCAATATCCATGTTATCAGCTTTTTTAGCTCCATCTTCACCAGGTCCATATTCATTTTCATCCACACTGTCAGATCTCTCCACATCATCCCTGGAAAAGAGTAAAGAACAGTACAATAATATTAACATACTTATCATAGTCTAGTTTTGATAAATTACCACAATTACAATGACAAGGTATTCAGGACGTGTTTTCCATTGTCGATGGCATAAAGTATATACAAAAACATACTGCTGGTTTATGTTGACCACAGAAACAGAGAAGTGTGTTAACTGATATTGACAGAAAACTACACGTCAAACAAGTTGAACGGAAACGTTTTCATTTCCAATACATGTAACCCATATTTATATATCTAAATACCAAAATGATGCAATATAAAGTCAGTAAAGGCCTTACTTACACATAATCCTTCGTTATTGTTTTGGCTAACACGTCCATGTTCGCCATCTTGATAGTTCCTGCTGAGTCGTTTGACAAAGAGAGTCGATTCACAATTCAGTCTGGCTATGCTACTAGTACTAACTTAAAAATAAGCAATCAAATTGTCCTCCAAATATAAATTTTAAATGTTCGTAACATTCCCCTCTCGGTATACATTATTGTACAGTGGCCAAAGCAAAAGGAAGTTTAGATCAAATTGACTGAATCACTGAATCGATGAATCAATCGTTTGGAGCTTTAACAAACCACGCATGCGCAGTGTAAATGAAACGCAGAAGAACGAACAAGAAGGCAGGGATGAATAAATTGAGAGAGATAAAGGTTCAGGACATAACATTAAAAGGACTATTGAGCACACAACATAGGGCACAGACTAGAATTCTTATGGATATATTAAGGGACACAGGGGTTTTTAATTGAGTATGAAGAGTTATAGGAGTATTGAGGAAGGTTAAAATTATTATTAGTATCATTATTATTATATAGTAGAATAAGGATGAAGTGTGTGGATTTGTATGCTTGGGAGAGAAGGAGGGAATTGGGTGAATGAGTCTAAACCTATTATCTGATCCACACTCCGGAGCAGATGGTGGCGATAATGCACTAATTACGCTGGATGCCAACCGCCGTTAAACATTAAAAAGAAGAAGAAGAAGAAGAAGACAGGGATCTTAAAAATTACATGGCTACGTACAGCTGTCATACATTTACTGTTCACTTTTTTTTTTTGCCCACACACTCAGTTTAAACCAGTTAAAATAGTGTTTGTACATGAAAATAGTGTTTAGGTTTGTCAGTATAGGGAATAATATAGAAAATGTCACATTTTACGCTGTATCTGTGTATGGTAATTACCCATTGGTCCCTAAATCGCATGTTCGCTTCCACAACACAAGCGAAGTAATTTAAAGAGACAACGCTGTTTGATGCAGAATTTACACATTATTGATACACACATATATAGTTAAACTGGGAACGATTTAACAGTTAATTAACAAATATAGCTTGCTTTCTGAATTATTGGATGACTTTTGTGTTTATTGTAGCGGATGCTAGTAGGTAACTTAACTGGTAACGTTAGTGTATATGTTGTATATGAGCACATTCTACATCTGACGTTATCATTGTGCTTCAGAGTGTTGTGCAATAACAGGCTGTACAATAAATCTACTTAATTAGCTGTCAATATATCCAATGACCAATAGCCTTGTTGAAGTGTAAAACACTGAATGTTTCATACTCAAGATAATTTACAAGACTGCGTAATGACTGTCTGTGTCTACTGATCTATTTTCCACCTTCTCCATTGTTTCCCAGAATGGGTGGATTTAAAGATGCATACCAAGATGTTCAGCCAGTAACCCTTCGACTTGCAGAAGGAAATGTCATTTCCAGTCTCTACTGCAGCTCAGCCGAGGGCATTGAAGCTCACGTGTCCACTTTAGTGGAAGCTTTTTTTTAGTTGAAGTGTACCGATGTAGAGTCTGTCAGTTTACCAGCAGCCAAAAAGCCAAGATTAGCCATCATGTCTTGGAAATGATGACAGAATTTTCATTTGGAGTGAACAGTCTAATTTATTAAGTTTGAAATGTGAGAAAATGCAACTGTAAATGTTTTTTTGAAGGTAAGCACGCTCTTTGAGGAGGATAGGCATGATGAGGACATCGAGGAGGAACCTGTGTTTCAGCTGGAGGATGCTAACACAGATCAGGCCGTTCCTTTGAACAGTGGAATGGACACAGAAATCCAGGATGAAGAGATGGCCCAGTCGGCTCATCTCATGACTCTTGGGTTGTGCAGAATTTCAAGCACTAAGTGTCAACCTCAGTCTGCGACCTCAGCAAAAAGCCTGTCCCATCCAGAAGGTGAACAGGTTGCTGGACATGTCAACATGGATGCTGAAATGCAGAAGCCATCTGAGGAAGATGGCGGATTGGCCTGCATCCTCTGTCAGATAGTTGTATCCAGTCGTAGTATGCTAGAGGTGCACCTGAAATGCCATAGTGGAGACCAAGGCTTTAGGTGCCCTCGCTGTGGTTGGGAATCAGAAGACTGGGTTGATATGGAGCAGCACTGGAGAGGACATGGTAAAAGAAAAGGCTCAAAGAGGCATAAATGTAGCGTTTGCCCCAGGACATTTAGGAGAGTTGACTCTCGTGACGCACATGAAGAAAGGCATAATCAGCGGCATCACTGTCGGTCTGTGACTGGGGGTCTGGTGCAGTGTTCTCTGTGCCTGGAATGGTGTCTCTCAGGGAAGGAGTGGGTGATACACCAACAAAGTCATTTTCAAGGAGGCTTTAAATGTTTAGATTGTGATTTCAAAGGTACAGATAATTTTACCTCTATTTTTTGCAGTTTCTTATATTTCTCTTATTATTTTATATTTTTCTCTTATATTTTTCTTTTAGAGAAGTCATGGAATAAGACCCTGAAACATATTCACACTCAACACAAACAGCTTGACACAAGTCAAAAGAAACAGGTTGCTCACAGTAGGTAAGTATCAAATGTTTTCATTCAAATTCATTTTTTTTGGTCATCTAATTCAAAATGCTGTAAAGCATTGGTTCTCAACTGGGGGAGGCGGATCTCACTTTGGGGGAAGTATAATTTACAGAAACTATGAGTGTGTCCACAGTTCAAAAGTATTCAAATATTGTTGAAGTCCAAAAAACGTGAATCTGGTGAAACGGTTGAATCTGTTACTCTGCTTAAAAGCCACTGTTGAATGTTGACTTCTTTGTCTGTACTCAGAGAAAACCAGCAATTTAACACATCCACCAGATACCCAGAATGCTTGAGAAGGATGAAGCCTGAGTCGTGGTCCCAGGTTAGGAAGAACAGGGTGAAAAACAGGGTTGTGGTAAGGGAAAAAAGCAATGAAAGAGGAAAGGACAGAGTGGGACACCTGAAGAGTGACACATCTGTTGGACTCACTGTTTCTAGATGGAAAGAGTTCTGCTGCAACCTCTGTGACAAGTATGAGAATGATTTCATTCCTTACTTATTTCATTCCACATTAGACAGTATTTATCTTAACGAAAAGAATGCTAATGATGTTTAGCATCTTAAGGTGGTTGTATTTTATAGTACTACGTACAGTTCAAAAGTTTGTGGTCTTTCGATTTTTAAAATGTTTTTGAAAGATGTCTCTTATGCTCACCAAAGCTTTGATAAAAAAAACAGTAATACTGTAAAATTGTACAATTTAAAATGACTGTTTTCTGTTTTAATGTAATTTATTCCTGTGATGCAAAACTGAATTTCCAGCAGCAATTACTCTAGTATTCAGTGTCACATGATCTTTCAGAAATCGTTCTAATATGCTGATTCAGTGCTTAAGAAACATTTCTTATTATTATCAAAGCCGAAAACAGTTGTGCTTCTTAATATTTTTGTGGAAACTGTGATATATATTTTTTAGGATTCTTTAAAGAGAAGAAAATTCAAAAGAACAACATTTATTTGAAATGGAAATCATTTGTAACATTGTAAATGTCATTACAATGTAATTTAACATGTACTTGCTGAATAAAAGTAAATTTTTTTTTCTAACCCCAAACTTTTGAACTGTAGTGTATAATATTTTTGTAGTGGAAATGCACTGAAGTGATTTACGTAGTATCTGCCCGAATAAATTAAATATTTCCTTAATATACCACATTACTTTCTTTTTAAGATAACTGTTGACTGTAATTGTATAATTTATCTTTATCTCTGTACAGGAAGTTTTCTACCAAGATGACAATGCGGCGTCACATGGGCATTCATCAAGGAGATAAGCCATTTAAATGTCCACACTGCCATTACTGCGCTCGTCTCAAAGCCTCGCTCATACAGCACCTCCGCGTACACACAGGTGCAGTTACAAACACATTGTAGATATCTTCTTTTAATATTAAACATGCTTCTTTATGTATATGTATTTGGTGCAGTGGTAGTAGATCATTGTTTTGGAATTACAGTGACACATCTTGTCCACCGCCTTTATTAGCCTTGGTCACTTAACAGAAATTATGATCAAAGCTGAGCCAATAAATGACTTTCCCATGGTACTTTATTTAGAAATCTAGCAAATATATGGAGAAAGACGGCTCATGGTGACATGCAGAGATTTAGAGCTTCATGGAAGTCCTTTCAAAAGACTGGTTCTCATGGAACAGTTTCCATGACATTGCTCTGCCTGAGTGTGGGAATTCCAGTGATGTGTTTTTCTTCTTGCTTTAGGTGAGAAGCCATACAAGTGTTCGCAGTGCTCCTATGTGCTCTCTGTGCCGACACTTAAGGACACACACACAAGAAAAGCCTTACCGCTGCCAGTACTGTCCTTACAGCAGGTACATACATTAATTTGTCATAAAGTTGACAGGCTACACTTGTTTCATTCTACATCTGTAACTAAGAGTGAGGCTCTGCATTTCACTTCAGCATCCAGAAGAAGAGCGTAGACCTTCATTCACGGCGTCATCACACTGGAGAGTCATTCCCTTGTCACTTGTGCCGGTATTCCACACCAGACCGCCAGCTGCTGGTGCGACACAAGAGGAAACATCACAGTGCTGAACAAACCGCAGCACTGGAGCAGAGGAACTGTTCTGGTTCCCAAACCGCACCTTCTCAAAGAGCACAGCCTTCCAAATGATATTTATGATTTCTAATAAAACTTTTAAGCTAAATTTTACTGTGACAAAGCAAAGTATTGTTTTGTTAATTATGCAAACTTCTTGTAATGATTCAGTAAATTCCATGTGCTGCTAGTGAAATGTTATTTCATGGTTTTAAATAAGAATAGATCACCTCAGCACTGACACATTAACTCAAGTCATGGTTTAATACGTTCAGTGGAATGTAGGTGAATGTTACTTGCTCTATTTCGGTGAGTGGTTAATTATAGTTTTAAAATAGAAAGCGATTAAAGGATTGACCCATGATGCAGCAAGCGTAATACTGATCTTAAAACGACAAGCAAATCCTACTACCAATCCAATAGAAACTGGATTATTTCACCTGTTGCTCAACGCACGAGCAGCCAAACTCATATTATCAGAGGAATGGAAGCTTTAATTTGTCGTTTTGTTTTAATTAAGTGTTTTAAGGCTATCGTTGATTTTAACATCTTTTCTGTTAACATCCTCTATGGGTCTCATTTTTTTTCAATGACACTTCTCACCTCGAGCTCAACTTTATGCAAACGAGCAGCGATCGATACGCTGTAGCAACAACCAATGAAATTGCAGCTAGTGACCTGCCGCCTGATGCAATTGGATGCTGCGGCAGAATAGGAACGCCTTCTTGCATCCAGCAAGATAACAGACTAGACCTCCATCGACTTAATCGATGTGTGAACGCTCCCACTTGCGAAATTCCTAATTTTGGAAGAGAATTCACAGGGAATGTGCACAAATGGAGCTTTCAGAGCTCATTGTCTGCAGGCGAAGAGAAAAGCAGAGGAGTTTGAAGTTTGTTCAGCTCGTGTCAGAAGATTTGCGAACTTGTATCAGATAATAAGCCCCATCTAATTTTGATGAGATATTCGTCGTGTTATCATTTGTATTTTTTAATTTTTGCAGCGGAATACATTTCTTATTACTTTAATTACTATTTCATGTGTTTATGATGCGAGTCCGTTATGGCAGGTGTTAATATGGAGACCTTTCCTCAGCTAACCGTAAAGGACTGTTGGGTCGTTGGTCTCGAGCGCTTCGCTGTTGGTGCTGCTGGAGAAGAAGAGGAGTTTTTCGAGATTAGGACTGAATGGTCTGAAAAAAGCATGACATATCTGCGAAGGAGATATTACGATCTAGTGAAACTTGTTAAGAATTTAAGTATATCATTTCCAGACGACAGAGGACGTTTGTCTCAACCAATGATGCTTAAGGGTATGACATTTATGCACATTTGTGACATTTGAAATAAGTGGTCATTTAACTGATTAGAGACTTCATTATTCTATGTGTGTATGTTTTATCAGCACTACAGAGGATAAAAGAAGCAGAGGAAAACAATAACGTTAAAACGAGGTTGGATGAAGTGGAAAAATTACTGAGAAATATAATAAAAATGCCACAAAAGGTGCTACATTAGACTAGCCTATCAATTCACTGTCAGTCATAAATGTATTGATGCCCTATTGTAAATAATTATGCAAGTAATTTATTTTCCAGTTCTCTCACTCTGAGGCAGTTCTTACATTTTTCAAGACTTCTCCTCTTGACTACACTTTGAAAACCCTGTATGAACCAATCCAGCCTCTCTACCAGAGTCCTGTCACTGTAGCTGGTGTGTTCGTGAGTTCTAATGTTGTATTGATCTTGAACTGATACTTGATTTTAAACTAGTTTTTAAGCTAATATATATATTGCTTTTCTACAGATGTAAGAAGGGCCAATGGGTTTTGTTTGGCCAATACAGAAACTGTTCTTTTTGATCCGTATTTACTAGCACAAGGAGCAGAACCATCATCAAAGTACAGGTAAATATCTGACAAATTAACATCCTAATAGCTACTCTTCTCTTCTGTTGATATATTGCTCAAGCAAATTTTACATATGTGGAATCAAAATGTATGTGTCTTATTTCACCACATCCAGCTCTGAGATTGAGTCCCAGATGTGGACTGGAATGAGAAATGGGATCAGATGCATCAAGGAAACTGTGCATAAACCTGGCAAGTGCCTTAAGAATGCTGGTACCCCTGAAAGTAAAGACACAGACCATCAACCGAAAATATCACAGATTACCACCAGCAACATTACCTACCTCGACCTACAAGCCTGTGAGACAGACATTCTTGAATGACATAGTGCACTTGACAATGTAATTATTACAGCTTTCTAGTGTGGAAGTCCACAAAAATATTAATTTTTAAGGTTTAGTCTATAAAAATATTTTTAAAATAAAATAATACATTTCTAAAGGATTTCTAAAGATTTCTAAAAATGGATATGAATAATATTTTTTTTAAGTTAAAGCTGCAGTCCGTAACTATTTTGGTTAAAAATGATCCGAAATCAATATTTAGGCAAGTACATAACCAGCCAGTGTTCAAAACTATCGCCTTACTTTAGCCCGATTCACAACGGTTAGCTTATAATAATGTTTTCTAATTTGAGTGGTATGGGTAGGTTTTCGAGGGAAATTCGAGCATGGCACTGCGTCATTACGTCACGTCTGTAAACATGAAGTTGTTCCGGCGGCTACTAGGCTATCGCATGTGAGGATCCTGCAGGTGGCGGATCATTTATAGCCTTTTATTACAGCAGCTGGAATAATTAAATGTATAATTTTGATGGCGAATTGTAATCCATAAAGGATTATGTTTATGAAACACATGTGAATGAAATTAAATTATATTCCAGTTATAAATGTGCTTCATTATAGCCTGCGATTAAAAAGATTTGTATTTTAAAGAAAACCAGTTCCAAGGGAGCATAATTAGCTTTTTGGGTTAAAATAATTTCTTAATATGAAATTCGAAGAGTATGACAATTAGATTAGACTGTACAAATATTGAAATCTACACGGTGATACACACCATACACATAGTGACGCAATGCTGATGTTGTTAACATGAATCATTTGAGAATAAAGTATAACAATAATAATAATTTGAACGGTTTGATGTGATATGAGCTAACCGATCTTTAGATTTAATCACCATTGGTAGCGAGATTTATGGTAATGCTTTTTTCCTCAGTTGGTCAGAACAAACGTGGCAGACTTGTTACTTACTTGTTCAGATGGCAATGTATGGTGAAAATTCTTATTTGGGTCATATTCCAAGATGTAGGCTAGAATCTTTGATTGCGAAGTACAGTAAATATCCACACCGGTGCGGTGACTGACTGCCACACATACTCTTCAGAACATTAGATTCATCCGCGCTGGAGCCATGCCGACTCACAACCCACTCAAGCTAGATAATTTCGCACACAGCTGCACTTCCAGGTTTTCAAACAGAGATGGCGACAAAGAGGCAAAACTTGCGGACTGCAGCTTTAAGATGAACTAATATTAATTTTAAAAAAGTTAACCATGCCTGATTAATGTTCTTTGGTTCATTTGCCAGCATTTACAAATCATATAAAATGGTTAGTTGATGAGTGATATCTTAAGGTCATTTATTTTGAATGAAGTCAACCAGTTATGTAAAATGTCCTATAAAGTTGTTTTACACTATATAGCCAAAATGTATGTTGATACCCATCACATATGGTTGTCATTGTTAGGGGTAACGCATTACAAATAACATTTATTTAGTTACGTAATCAGATTACTTTTTTTCAAATAACTAATAAAGTAATGCATTACTTTTAAGTTTACAAGACAATATCTGAGTTACTTTTTCAAATAAGTAATGCAGGTTACTTTGTTTTGCATTTATTCACTGACACCACTGCTGCCCCTGTGTTGAGAGAAATTGGGAGTGAGGTGCAGAGGCACTTCCTTCAGGCTGAGGCTAGTCTTACTTTTATGGTGAAAGTTTTTTTTTATTATTAAAAATAAATAAACAAGCCCAGCTCAGGTGACAAAAAGTAACGCAAACATAACAAAACACATTACTTTCAATAAAAAGGGACTGAGTAATGCAATTAGTTACTTTTTTATGGAGTAACGCAATATTGTAATGCATTACTTTTAAAAGTAACTTTCACCAACTCTTTATATGGTTGTTGAGCATTTAATATAATATCCTTTGGCATGAATGGTTTCCACTCTTCTTGTAAGTACTCAAATATGTCTATGAGAATCAGACATGTGTCAGTGAGGTCAGAAACTGATAGGATGATGAGGACTGGCTTGCCGTCAGCATTACTGTTTATTCCACAGGTGTTCAGTGGGGTTCATGTCTGGGCTTTTGTGTAGGCCTGTCAAGTTCTTCCTCAGTAAATCATTAATTTATGGGAATTGCATTGTGCACAAAGGGGGCATTGTCATGCTGTAGGAGAAAAAGGCTCTCTCCAAATTGTTGTCACAAATTTGGAAGCACACTATTCTAAAGAATGTCATTGTATGTCATTGTATTTTTGAGATTTCCCTGGATTTAAAGGGCCTGGCCAAATAGTTTGCCCATTAACTAGAAACGGCATGTTCACATACTTTTTTGCCACTTACTAAACTCAAGGTCAAAATAAAACTATATTCAGTTTTAATAATGACTGCAAAGACACATTCATCTGTTTTTTTTCTAAAGTAGGCCAAGTCCTTGTTGTTAAAAAGATTGAAGGCTATAGGCTGATCATTATTTAAATGGAACAGGGAGAATCATTTCAGTTCATGTTCAGGTCAGTGAGCAGTTCCCATGATGAGGGATGTTAATCAGTCTTTATTGGAGCAGTCATTGTGCTCCACTTTGACATTGCATAAATTGATTTGGCTCACTGCATCCACTCAAACAATCCATACATCCTTATTTTGGGTCAAAAAGTGCTTTTTTCCATCAACAGCTGCCCTAATTTACTTCTCTAAACAACAAACAGTGGAAGCATTTTTATATTTAATAAAATAAAGACCGCTTTTCATGGTCTTCATTTCCTCCTTTACCTCTCACAGGGTTATCCAACTCACTGCCAACATTTCAAATGAAACATTCAAACTTGAAATAATGTTATCTCTTTCTCTAGGTCAGTCCCATTAATTATCAATATTATACATAATTTTAGCTCGTATTCACAGGGTAAAGTTTGCCAACACTCTATACAAATGTATCTTCTTATTTCTTACAAAAAAAGACTAAAGCAAAATCATCCAGATGATTTTAACAAGTTCAAAATATTTAGAGTACTTTTTTAACGTAACCATAGGCCAAGTGACAATTTTTGTCCATTACAGCAGGCCATGCCACAAACTACTTACTGATCAATAATAACTTGGTGGTGCATTGATTAGTATATAAAAAGCTAATGTATTGTGCCACCATTCACAGACTGACACAGAGAGGAGAACAGCACTGTTTATTATTTAACATGAGAATTTAACCGCTTTTTTCACTTCTCTTAATACTATTACCATCGCTTTTGTATACAATAATTTACGACTCTAAGACATCAAACCTCACAACATGAGCCATCACTCCTCATGGAGAGGGCATCATTGTGCTCCTGGAGACATCAACTGCACTGCAGGCTTTAAGGAATCATTGGGCAGCAGGAGCTACAAGTTGCTCCATGTGCCTTTCCATGGGCCGACCCATAGCCACCACCATGAGCCTCCACACCCGTTCCCCACCGTGGATGTTCCTGATCATGCCCACTACATCATCGGCTCTGTCATCTTAATAGTAGGCATCACCGGAGTGATTGGAAACGCACTGGTGGTCTACGTGTTCTGCCGTAGCCGTACTCTTCGCACCGCAGGGAACATGTTTGTGGTGAACCTGGCTGTAGCTGATTTCTTCATGTCCCTCACCCAGTCACCAGTGTTCTTCACAGCCAGCCTGCACAGGCGCTGGGTGTTCGGCGAGCGCTCTTGTGAGCTCTACGCCTTTTGCGGCGCTCTCTTTGGGATCTGTTCCATGATGACTTTGACTGCCATAGCTGCCGATCGCTGCCTCGCCATAACTCAGCCTCTCGCCCTTGTAGGCAGAGTTAGTCGACACAAAGCAGGTGCGGTATTGGCTGTCGTGTGGCTCTACTCCCTGGGCTGGAGCCTTCCACCATTCTTTGGCTGGAGTGCTTATGTTCCAGAGGGTCTTCAGACTTCCTGTTCTTGGGACTATATGACCTTCACTCCTTCAGTGCGTGCGTACACCATCCTGCTCTTCATTTTTGTGTTCTTTATCCCACTAGGCATTATTGCTAGCTGCTACTTTGGAATTTTCCAAGCTATCCGAGCTGCGGGGAAGGAAATACGAGAGTTGGATTGTGGGGAAACGCACAAGGTGTATGAACGCATGCAAAATGAATGGAAGATGGCGAAAGTCGCCCTCCTGGTCATTTTGCTTTTTGTAATATCGTGGTCACCCTACTCCGTGGTGGCCCTCACAGCCACGGCTGGCTATTCCCACCTCCTGACTCCCTACATGAATTCAGTACCTGCTGTGATCGCCAAGGCCTCAGCCATCCATAATCCCATCATCTATGCAATTACGCATCCGAAGTATCGGGCGGCTATTGCCCGTTACATTCCGGTTCTCCGCCCCATCTTGCGTGTCAAAGAGAAGGATCTCCGTTCCTCTTTTAGTTCCGGAAGTGTCAGTTCCCGTCGTCCGACCCTCACCAGCCAGTGCTCTCTGGGGGTTAGCATCGGCAATGCTGCACGAGCTAATGGCCGCTGGGGGAAGACGCGCTTGTCTTCTGCTTCAGATAGTGATTCTTGTTGGAATGAGAGTGAGGCTGATGGTTCCAGCGTCAATTCCCTGACCTTTGGTCGTCGTGTGTCCACGGAGATCTCTACAGATACTGCCATTCTCTCACCAGGGTCAAGTACTAACAGCTCCAGTGGGCAGAAGCCGGAGAAGAAGCACAAAGTTGTAAGCGCACCGGTGCCGTCTATTACTTTTGAAACAGATGCAGCCGATGGCGAGTCTCTGTCTGATGGGAAAGCTTTGCTCCTTGGGGGGAAAGAAAGGGAATGATGCAGTGCTTCAGAGTAACTTTGGTACTAGTAATTTTAGTAGTTGCTTTGACCTATTCTTTTTTTTAATTTAAATATATATTCACATGCCCTTCTTTACTTTACAAGCCTCTGTCTTGTTAGTTTTGTGAACTTTGTTTTTGAAATTAAACGATTTTCAGGTTTGTGTGAATTTAGCAGATGCATTTATTAACTTCAATGATTTCCTTCATAAAATGTAAGCGTTTGTTAATTACTTTCTTTTTATTAAAACCTTTATAATAACCATCTTTTTTCCCTTTGTTTAATCTGAGGATATTCTGGTGTGGATTTTAATAGTTGAGTAAATGTGTCTAAATGATGTTTGGCATCATTTTTATTTCAATAAAACAGCATATACAAATATCTTAAGTAGTCTTGTTTATTTCTAACATTCATTGTATTTCTAGTTGTTGTGTCGCAATAAAACAAATCCAGAAAAATTTAGTGCTTTTTCATGTTTTATATCTGGGGTCCAAAATGTTAACAGTTCTCACACAGGCATTAAAGGTTATTTACCAAAAGTTTTAACCTCACATTTAAAGTGAATATAAGGTCACATTTAGTTTTGCAAGGGGACAAATGGCAAATTTGGTTGAGGAGTAAATTGGACTTTGAATTGGTGTTTGAAATGCCTGATTCATAAATGTTTGAAAATTGCTTAGTACTGTAAATACATTAATTTGGTCTCATATACACAACTTAGACGATTCCTACAGTGGCGCTAAAATATTTAGACAATTAAAATACATAAAAAATGTATGAATTTCATTTAGTAGAAGACTGTCAGAACTTGCACTTTATATTTTATAAACTTTATTTGACCCTCTCTAACTCTAGCACTCTCTATTCTAATTTTATTCTTAAAAAACACTTGTCCCTTTTAGACTTGCACTCTATTCATTTGCTGCTTGTTTTCTTTAAAAAAACTAACTTAACTGCTTTCTAATCTTTTTGTATTCTATCTGTTTTCTTTTCATTTATTATACAATTAACAAAAGCAAAAATACCTCTAACTCTTGCTTGCTCTATTATTTTTATATTCTATCTGTTTGCTTTTTATTTATTATATTATTTTAAAAAAACCTTGCTATGTGTACAGCGTTAAGCTAACTGAGACTTGTTATAGCACTTGCATATCATTGCTCTTTTGTTGATTTTGATTGCTTCCATTGTCCTCATTTGTAAGTCAATTTGGATAAAAGCGTCTGCTAACTGTAAATATTTAACAATGAGAAGTTGTCATTTTTTATTTTAAACAGGATATCCATTGTTCAATCGGTTTAAATTTTAATGAACAAATATTCATCTTTTAGCAAAAAGTGCCTTTAAAGAGCCTTTGTTTTGAACTTGTCTCTTGACCCGGATGTTGTATGAAACAATAGCACGCTGATGTTGCCTGCTTCACTCGGGATGTGTTATTGTGTATTGCCCCTGACTGTGACTGTCCTCTCAGCAGCACAAGAGCAGTGAAATTCGACACTCGTTTGAAGTGAATTATTAATGGAAGACAGACGATTGAGGAAATAACCGTCAACATGGGGGATGATGGTATAGACTACAACATTGTATTTCCAGAGGCACTGACCTCAGGTAAGTGCTTTTCTGAGGCTGACAGCAGCTCTAGGTTGCCTTGTTGCCCAATTCCTTGCTCATATGAATGGAAGCCTGCAAGCTGTGTTTAAACCTTAATTTACAGATGTTAAATGGGAAAGCTTCAATAGGAATGTGGCACTCATTTCACATACTGTATGTGCGTATCACGGGATCCTTGTTGTTTGGACACATTATTCCTGTCTTGACAGAGAAACACTGGCGCGGATCAAAGGAGCCAGTCGTTATTCTGCTAGGCTGGGCGGGCAGTAGAGACAAACATCTCGCCAAATACAGTTCTATTTATAATGAACAGGTGAGACATTTTCCTATGCCCTGCGAACATACACATGTTGTTGTTTCTTCAGTTATGGTCACTATTGGTCATGTGGGCTTTTAGAAAAGAATTTCTCTTAAGCGCACTTTTCACACTCTCACTAGTATGTTACTTTCTCTACAAATATGCACCACAGAGGAATTGTAATTTTTGTGTTTTTACAAAATGTGAGCATTTCTATTACAGTGTGCTTTTCACAACATTGTGTTATGAATTTTTGTTGTTCATTAAATAATGCATACTATTTAATGTATACCAGATACCAACAAAGAAAAAATATTTTCACAACTACATTGGAAATTATGCATATCTATCTATCTATCTATCTAAAGATAATATTTGTATATTATATTTTTATTGATGTTAATCAAACATCATATGTCTCATGTTTCATATCGAGCATTATAACTTTAATAACTTCTGAGAAAACATCATTAGAAGCAGAATTTTCAGATAGTCTATACTTGGTGTTTAAATGTTTTTTACTCAAAATAATTGTAATTTAATTATTTCACTCTTGGATCATCATAGGTTTAATATTAATTTTAATAATATTTAGTAATACTGTAACCTATAACTTCTATGAGAATAGGTCCACATCACAGCTGTAATGATAATGTCATGGAGCAGGGGTAGGCAAGTTTGGTTCTAGAGAGCCGGAGTCCTGCAGAGTTCAGCTCCAACCCTAATCAGACACACCTGAACAAGCTAATCAATGTCTTCAGGATTACTAAGGCTATAGGCAGGTGAGGTTTTTTTCAGGGTTGGCGCTGAACTCTGCAGGACTGTGACTCTCTAGGACCGAACTTGCCTACCCCTGACATGGAGGAACAATGTAATTGAAATCACTTTCTGAAAATTTTTTTCAGCTGATGAACAGTAAAAACATTGATAGCCAATCAGAATCCACCTAAGTTTAAAGATTTTGATCATTTAAAGCAGCAGATGATGTAACTTCAGTGCACGCTTATAATGAACAGAACATTATCATCTGTTAGTGTGGACTAATATAGTTATAGATATACTTATCACTATGGTTCGCATTCTTTGTGTGAACAGGCCTTATGACATTAAAATCTGTGTAAATTTGCCATTTGAAAAAAAAATCTAAGTTTTAATTTGACCTTAATCTAACAAAAAAGAAAAATATGAAATCTGATTATTTTATTAAAGGTCAATCCATTGGGACATAAAGGTGGTCGCCGTAATTTTGCCAAGCAAGACATGTTCCTGGATCAACATCTTTTGTTGATCCAGGATCAACATTACTGTCCAAAAGTATAGACTAAACCCAATCCCTACCCCTAAACCTATCCTTACCCATAATTTATTCCTAAAATCAGTGTGAAATGATAGCTGATTACAAAAGGTGTAGAAGCACCTAACCCTGATCGCAAGCCTAAAACAGATATTTCCTGAAAAGTTATCTCTCAATTCTGACTGGTTAATTGGAATGTTGATCCAGGAACATGTTGTACTTGGTGAAATCACGGTCACCCATAAAGGTGGACCATAGTTACACCCATGCATAGAGTACTTATAACAGCTTCACTTTTCTTGGTAGGGATGTGTGACTCTACGCTACACAGCTCCTTTGAAGACAGTTTTTATTTCAGAATCACTGGGCTACAAGGAACTAAGAAGCACTGCGCAAAAATTACTTGAACTTCTGTTTGACTATGAGGTGGAGAACAACCCAATTTTCTTCCATGTGTTCAGCAATGGGGGCTTCATGCTTTACCGCTACATCGTTGAGTTACTGCACAGTCAAAATCAGTTCAGCACTCTGTATGTGGTGGGCACGGTTGTGGACAGTGCCCCGGGCAGTCAAAATGTTATAGGAGCGCTCAGAGCACTCAAATCCACCTTGGGACCCAAAATCAATGTGCTACTGCAGTACTTCCTCCTGGCACTGTTTGCTGTGGCCATTTTCCTTCTCAGGATTGTTTTGTATCCTGTGACCAAGTACTTTCACAAGAACCACTATGATGCCATGATGGAGCACCCGGCACCTTGGCCTCAGATGTACCTCTATTCTAGAGCAGACCGGGTGATCAGGTACAGGGATGTGGAGAAGATGGTTAAAGTGTTGCGCGAGAAAGGGCTGACAGTTGAAAGTTTTGATTTCATCACCCCAGCCCATGTGAGTCTATACAGAGACTGTCCAGAGGACTATTCCAGCAGGTGCAGGACGTTTGTGACCCGATGCATGAGTTCATCAGAGGTGACCATGACGAAAAAACGCCTTCAAGTGTAACACTGATTATACAGTTCTTGACCAGCTTGTTAATATATACACTGTAAATTTATATGTGCACCAACCATCAAATTTTTATGGAATAAAAGCACTGCTGTTTAATAAATTAAATTGTTCTTAAACCCAACATGAAATTTTAACAGGATTAAATTTGTATCCTAACCTCTATTGTATTTGTCTTATGCTGTGAATTAAACTGTAATTTAGGGGGTTATTGGTTTGGTACATTATTGAGATTTTAGACATTGTGAATGTGAGTATGTTTGTGTATTTGTGTATCACATTACACTGTGACTGAATAAAATAATGTATTTGACTAATGTGACTTCCTTAAATAAAAACTTCTGTTGGCTTAACTTGATTAAAGTCAATATTCCCAAAGGGAAGTCAGTACTACCGGTTAGCTGCCCAGTTGCTTAAACTTCTTAGAGTAGTCTTACAATTTCTTCAGATACTTTTTTTTCTTCTTTAAGACAGGTGATAACGTTCGTTACGTCATAAGTCGGTACGTAAAACCGTAGATTAATCCAATTTGAATCCGACAGATAACCACTAGCCTAGTTCTCAAGACGGTCTTTTATTAAGCTGCAACTGGCATGGAATTTTAAAAATAATGGAAATTTATACATTTGTGGTGGGAAAAACAAAACTTTTTGAAACTGCAAATCAGTTGCGAAGTGATTCACTGTTTTGGAACGCTTGAAACTCCGCAAGGTCATCTGCTGTATTGTAAATGCAATGATAAACTAAAATTAGGTCTACGTGACCTTTTGTTAATATATGCGTTTCGAAGCACTGATTCGAAACAAATGATTCATAAAGGTTTTGAAGCTTCGCCCGTTGCTAAAATAGGTATTTCTGTTTATTCTCTGCTGTTGGTCTACAATATTTAACCTGAGAGTGAATGCTCTCATGGATATTAACACGATGTACGATTTATAAGAGAGTCATTCTTTTGAGTCAGTTCTCTTTAATGAAGCATATAGAACCGGCTAATTCAGTGATTTAGATGGGTTTTAATCAAGATGGGTTTCATAAAAATCCTTATCCAACAATCACAAACAACAGGATGGGTCTTGAAAATGTATTGTTCAACCCTAAAGCTTGAACTGTTCTGTCAGACCAGTCATTCAGTACAGCACCAAACACTGACTAACAATGC